TTAGCACCTGAAGCCTGTTTCACCAGTGAGATCATGGCTGATATGAGCCCTTATTGCATATACCACATACCACATAATATAAACCATGTGCAGATATTTCTCGGTAAAGTGATCAAACATCCCAAATGTGACACCCATCCAAAATTTATTCCTGATAACCTATCAGTAGCTTTGAGGTGGTCAGAGAATTGGTGGAGTGATTGAGATGGCTATAGCTAGTGCCTTGTGAAAGCTTATCCTGTACTCATTGCTAATGGATAAAATTAGTGAGGGGTTTAAGATTAAATTGTTGCAGATTTGTGGTTAATGAGGGGCTGAATGATAGACAAAAGTACCAAGGTTGAGAAGAAAAGTCACTTCAGGTAATGCACTGCCTGTATTTCATTACACAAGACTGGATCATTCCCGTTGAGCTGAATGACATTAAAGAATAATTTGAGAAGGATTACAAAATATGGCTTCATTATCCTCATCCAACAGTGCACTGTGATGTTAGTATATCCTGTTGACTCCTATTGCCAAACTTACTTCATCAGCACGTCCCAACCTTGTAAAATCTCCTGTTGAGAAGGCCAAGAGCAGAAGTATAATGCAGAGTTCATTATTTCCAATTTCTCATCCACGTTAAATACAATCTTGACATGGACATATTTTGCCATGCCTATATTTTTGCTGGTTCAAAATCCTAGTACCACTGGATCATGACATTTGCAGTGATTCTTAAAGATAATCCATCACCACTTATCAGCCAACTTAGGAAGGGTAATGTATATCAACCACAATCTGGAAAAAAAAGCACTGAACATCTTATTGAGTGTTGAAGAGAGGACAAATTGTGTTATGCAGAACAATCATGGAAGAAGTATCAGTACTCTGAATATGGAAGTTGACATGAGGGATTTGAGAAAAGTGTTTTAAGAAGATGAGCATAGAGCTGCAAGTGACAACTTGTACACTGACTTCGATGGTAATGAAGTAGTTGGAGATGGGACTGTCCTTGGAGAGGAAGGTCGCGCCGAGGGTACTTTTTGAGAAGAGAGTGGTAATGGTCTCAGGAAAGGCAGATATTGACAATGTTAATCATTGGCTTGTTTAATAGTGTTGATCCAGTAGGACAAAGCGATATTGAAATCAAAGTACAATTTGTTGTTCCATAATTTTAAAGATGAAGACATTCTTTGCAATTGATATTTGCAAATGTGACAGATATTGCAGTACATACCCACCAACTCCCACAACCTGGACTACACATCCTCACACCGTGCTTCCTGTAAGGGCTCCAATCAATTCTCCCAGTTTCTCCACCTCCATCACATCTATTTTGATGATATCACCTTCTGCAGGAGGACCTCATAAATGTCCAACCTTTTCCTTAATGGGATTCCCTGCCAGCATGGTTGACAGGGCATTAACCATGTCTGGCCATTTCCCACACTTCTGCCCTTACCCCTTCCCTTCCCTCCCATAACAACAATAAGATCCCCCTAGTCCTCACATTCCACCTGATTAGGATCTGCATCTAAAGGATCATAAGCTGCCATTTCCGCCACCACCAGACATGTATTCCCCTCCCTACCTTGTCAGCATTCTGCACGGACCATTCCCATAGGACATTCTGGTCCATTCTTCCTCACTCCCAAAACCTCCCCACAGCACCTTCCTGTGCAATGGCAGAAGGTGCAGTCCCTGCCCGTTATGTCCTCCCTTCCCAATATCCAAGGCTCCACCTTCCAGGTGAAGCAGCTATTTACCTACACTTCTTTCAATCTAGTTGACCATATTCACTGCTCACTGAATCTAGTTGACTGTGTTCGCTGCCGACAATGTGATATCCTCTATACTGGGGAGAGAAAATGCAGATTGGGTGTCTGCTTTGCAGTGCACCTACATTTTGTCTATAAAAATGACCCTGAGCTTCCACTTCAACACCACTGTTCCCTGGCCAATATTTCTGTCTTGGGCATGCTGCAGTGCTCCAGCGAGGTTAAGCGCAAACTGGAACAGTATCTTGTTTTCCACTTGGGGACCCTGCAGTCTTCAGGACTCAATGTTGAGTTCAATAATTTTAGAGCCCAAGCACAAGGGCTGCTTTCAGCACAGTTAACCCATTGTCAACTTCTTATTGTCCCCATCTCTCACTCTCTGTGCTTGCTCTCTTTCTCTCTCCCTCTCTGTTTCCACCTATCCAGTCACCCATTTTTCCCACACCCGCTCTCATCAGCTAGCTTTTCCTAGCTACTATTTTGAGGAAAGGTTACTTGGACTCAAAATGTTAATTTTGTTTTCTGTCCTTGGATGCTGCCAGATCTGTTGAATTTCTCTGGCAAGTTCTGTTTTTGTGACAGATATTCACATTTAATTTATAATTCTATATGCCAATACAAAGAATTGTTGAAATTGCGATCTCCACATAATATTTTAGAATATAGCATTATTGTTCTCAACTGAACTTTCTGTAAAAGTCAATTTCAGCAAAATATTAGGTGTTGCTGGGTATGCTCCTTTAGTTCCTCATACATTTGGACAGGGTATACATCAAAAGCTTTTCATTTGATTCATGGTCTTTTTTACTTTATGAATTTTGCATACAGTGCGTCATCATATTTGATACAGGTTGAAATAACTTCTAAGAAAACATAACCAATTATTAATGTGAGCCTGAAATGTAGAAACAATTGCAATTATCCCTTTGATTTAGTAGTTTGAATGTAGCTATGATTAATTCAGTTCATCTATTTGGCACAGGCAAAGGCAGATTAGCATCCGAACTTCAAGAGATAGCAAGAAGTGCAGATGCTGGAGTCAGAGTCGATACAGTGCGGAGCTGGAGGAACACAGCAGGTCAGGCAGCATTAGAGGAGTAGGGGAGTTCACGTTTCGGGCCTACACCCTTCATCAGGACTGAGTCTATGCTCGAAACGTCGACTCTCTTACTCCTCTAATGCTGCCTGACCTGCTGTGTTTCTCCAGCTCTACACTGCATTAAATCTGAACTTCAAAACTGTGCTCCAGACTTGGAACAATACACAAGCAATATAAAATAGTCCACAAACAATGTATCAGTAGACTTGCTGGTTAGTAAAGAATTCCAATTAGGCTGCCCTAATGCTTTTCTTCGTTGTTCTAATTTCCAGTTGCCTTAATCATTTTGTGTCATTTCAGTTTTACTTCTCGAATATTTACTGACACCATTTTAATTTTATAGCTGAGACAGTGAAAAATCTGTGGGTCATCGGTGTTCCTAAGGTGGAACTAAGGCAGATTTGAAGTTTCAGTGGTCTGTAGAATCTCTTACAAGTATGTGCTAAAGATGATCACCATGAAACAATGTCCTTGATCTTCTCCTCATTGTCACATTCAATTTGGATTATTTAGAATTTTTTGTACTATATTGGCTTAAGCTTTGAGTTACAGGAGACCCAATTCTATTCCTTAACAAGTGGCTTTGGTTCTGATTTTGACATTTTGTTACAGTACATCTTTCAATGTCACTCCAGAGCAACAAAAAAAATGCACTGTCTAGAAACATGTATGTTTTGGATGCCATGAGATCTTTTTTACGTTTATCAATTTTCAAAATGGGAAACTGCATCAACAATGTGTGTAAAAGGTCTCTCAAACAAGCAGCTTTTACACAATGATCAATACATATATTTCACTTTGTATTGAAAACATTGCTTTTTACATAACATTGGAAAAAGGAACAAGAGTAAGCTATTTAAGTTTTCAAGCCTGTATTCAACTACATTGTGGCTGATCTTCTACCTCAATATCATTTTCCTGCACTATCTCCACACCCCTTGAAAGGTGTGATATTTAAAAATCTATTGATCTCTGTCTTGAAAACACTCAATGACTGCCTTCTGAGGTAGAGAATACCCCTGTTTCTGAATTCTGAAGAAATTCCTCCTCATCTCATCTGAAATGGCCTATCTCTTACTCTGAGACATTTTTCCCTCTTGTTCTAGACCCTACAGCAAGGGGAAACATCCTTTTTGAATCTACGTTGTCAAACCCTTTCAGAATTGTGTATGCTTCTATTGAGATAAACCTCTCATTCTTCTGAACTTTAGAAAATACAGACCTAGTCTTTTCAATTTCTCCTCGTAGAACAATTCTGACATCCCAGAGATCAGTCTGGTGAATTTCGTTGCACTGCCCAAATGGCAACTTTATCCTTCCTTAGGGTAAGGAGAACAAAACTGTGCAAAGGTGCAGTCTCACAAATGCTGTATACAATTGTGGCAAGATGTCTTTCATCTTGATCCAAATCCGCTTGCAATAAAGGCTAATATACCATTGCTTTCTCAATTGCTTGCTGCACCTGCATGTTAGATTTCAGTGATTTAATGACAAGAATACCCAGGTTTCTTTGGACGTCAACACTTATCAATCTCAGAAAATCTAAGAAATATTCTGCATTTCTTTTTCTTCCTATCAAAATGGATAGTTCACACTTTTCCACGTGATATTCTAGCTCCCATGTTCTTGTCAGAAAAAAACCCAAAAATTGCTGGAAAAGCTCAGCAGGTCTGGCAGCATCTGGAGAGAAATCAAGAGTTAATATTTCGTGTCAAGTGGCCCTTCCTCAGAACTCCATGTTCTTGTCTCCTCTTCCGTTGTGTCCAAGTCTCTCAAGTTTGTTCGCACCTAGCCATAACTCACATTTCTATCTAAATTCGTACCATCAGCAAAGTTGATCCCTTTTGTCCCACTGATGATAAAGTATAAATTTGGTGTTATAGCTTTGAATTCAGAAATTTAAACCCTTTATTACATGAATTAATTGTGAAGGGATTGAATTAACCCTTATCTTAAACATTTGGGTTGTATAATGATAATTCCTCATTAGAAGTCAAAAATTGCACTAACCAGTATCTATCTTACAGTAACAAGAGTACTGAAAATGTCCAGTTTAAGCATAACAGCAAAGAAAACATCAGTTCTAAAATACTAAAACATTTCCTATTGCATCATCATTGATAGTTTACTCTAAACAGGAAAGGGAACACAGAAATGGAAATCTAATGGAGCCATATACAATGGTGACTGGGAATATGGAAAGAGAAATGGTTTCGGGACTTACAGTGTACCAGATCCAATCAGTGGGGAATATAAAAAGGTCTATTCGGGAGCATGGAAAAATGACAAAAGACACGTGAGTACAGAATTGACATGATGTTGGTAATTGTTACCTTTTCTGAAAGAATATCATTGAAGTAATACTGTTTACCACTTTAGGGTATATTGTATCATTATTCTTCAGAGCATATTCATTTTAAATTTTTTATCTATCCAGGATAACTGACTACCTTTAAACAAATCTAGTGCATCTTTCACTTGTTGTTTTGTCAAATCTTTCCTTCATAATGAGTTACTTCCTTGCAGTGTCAAATTTAGTTAGGCTGTAAATATTGTAAGATTTTACAATAGTTACTCAATGAAGTTTTTATATTGTATGCTACTTTATAATTGTGGAAATCCTTGTATCTTGTATGGACAAGATTTGGTTTTGGGGTTAGGTGGTGTGTGCTGAAGGCCTACCCTCAAAACCAATTGAAGTTTCCTGATTTTATTTTGGTAAATTTTTAAATGTGTGTATGCCAAATTGGTCTCAAATGAATCAATGAACAGGTGCCCACACAATGTTCCTGGTTTGTTTAATCTGAGACTTTGTAGATATGGAACTTGAATGATACTGAATAGTGAGATATTATTGAAGCTTTTTGTCTTACACTCAACAAGACAAATATAAAAATGTCAAATTTACAAACGATGGCAACAATTTAAGCGACAGAAGAAAAGGATGTTGTTTGGTTGGCAAGTAGACTCTGATAGCTGAGGCATTGCCATGGAGAAAGCAACAGTGTGCTGTAGGTTCAATAAATGTGGAACTGGAAAAGCACAGCAGGTCAGACAGCATCCGAGGAGCAGGGAAGTCAATGTTTCGAGTTGAAACCCTTCATCAGGACTGGGGAGGGGGAGGGAAACCCAGATATAAATAGAGGGAGGTGTACCTGATATTTCGCCTTGGGAACTGACAGCCCAATGGCCTGAATATTGACTTCACCAGCTTCAAAATCTCTCCACACCCAACCTGTCCATCTTCCGACTCACATATCTGCTCCACCCTTCCCACTGACCAACCACAATAACCCACTACCTGCATCCATCCCACCTACCCTGCCCCCAGCCCCACCCCGTCCATCTATTTATTTCTGGGCTCCCCTCCCCAGTCCTGACAAAGGGTTTCTGTCTGAAACATTGACTTCTCTATTCCTTGAATTCTGTCTGACCTGCTGTGCTTTTCCAGCTCCCCATTTATTGACTCTTGTTTCCAGCATCTGCAGTCCTTACTGTCTCCAGAGTGATATAGGTTCCCCAGCTCTCAAGTAATTCAAAAGCGCAAGGTTGAAAATAATCCTTTTGTTTACAGCAAACGGGTCCTATGCATACAAATGTATATTGCTTCAAGCAAGTTAAATAAGCCATATTACAAGCTTGCAGGGCTGGATGAACACAGCAGGCCAAGCAGCATCATAGGAGCAGATGCTGCTTGGCCTGCTGTGTTCATCCCGCCCTGCACCTTGTTGTCTCGGATTCTCCAGCATCTGCAGTTCCTACTATCTCATATTACAAGCTTGACTGTTTATCTTTAATTGGTTGTTATTTTTGGCTATTTGTGCACTCAGAATTATTCATCAGGTGCTGCCTAATTGCAGAATCATATCAGACAGTAGACTTTTTTTTGGTTTTGTAAGCGCAAGCTGAGTAAGGCCTTTGCTCTTAATATTACAAACAACTGAAGGATCATGCTTTGATTTAGTCAGTCAGTCACTAGAGTGTATGGTTCACGTGCCTGACATCACACCAGCATTTGGGATCTAATAATTTCCCGTTGTTTTCTCCATGGCAATAGGAAACCATTGGTTTTAGCCAATCAGTCAGCAACATTTTATCCTGTCGTACAAGTCAGAATTCATACATGACATTGCTCAAAAATGTGAAAGAAGAATGTCTTTTTCAATGACGTCAACATCCAAAACGCAGCTACTGCACTGTCGTATAGTGAAATGGCTTCCTTGATCTATTCAACTTCCTTAACAGACTTTGCCTTTCTGGTGTAAATTTGACGTGGATAAGACATTTTTCAGATCCAGAAGTGGAGCCTCTGGCTCATATATGAATTTTTGAGATACTCCATATCATGGAGGTGGGCTCTTAGTCCTGCAGAATAGTTGGTGAAATTGACAGAGATCTGGAAGAACTTGTAGTCTGTTGGTTGTCCTTTTGAATCCTGACATCTGTAAATTAGTAATTAATTGATCCATTTGCTTTGTCTTTCACTTCTGGAATACAATGGAATGTCAAGAGAACAGGATGATGAAGTGTGCTAAATCGTGTGAATGTGGTTAGCTATCTTGCGGTAAGCCCTGATGGCAGTTACTGTATTTAGAGACAACAAGGTGCAGAGCTCGATGAACACAGCAGGCCAAGCAGCATCATAGGGGCAGTAAGGCTGACGTTTCGGGCCTACACCCTTCATCAGAAATGGGGGAGGGGAAGGGGGTTCTGAAATAAATAGGGAGAGAGGGGGAGGAGGATAGAAGATGGATAGAGGAGAAGATAAGTGGAGAGGAAACAGACAGGTCAAAGAGGCGGGGATGGAGCCAGTAAAGGTGAGTGTAGGTGGGGAGGTAGGGAGGAGATAGGTCAGTCCAGGGAGGATGGACAGGTCAAGGGGGTGGGATGAGGTTAGTAGGTAGGAAATGGGGGTGCGGCTTGAGGTGGGAGGAGGGGATAGGTGGGAGGAAGAACAGGTTAGGGAGGCGGGGACGAGCTGGGCTGGTTTTGGGATGCGGTAGGGGGAGGGGAGATTTTGAAGTTTGTGAAATCCACATTGATACCATTGGGCTGCAGGGTTCCCAAGCGGAATATGAGTTGCATTTCCTGCAACCTTTGGGTGGCATTGTTGTGGCACTGCAGGAGGCCCAGGATGAACATGTTGTCTGAGAAATGGGAGGGGGAGTTGAAATGGTTCGTGACTGGGAGGTGCAGTTGTTTATTGCGAACCGAGCGTAGGTGTTCCGCAAAGCGGTCCCCAAGCCTCCGCTTGGTTTCCCCGATGTAGAGGAGGCCACAACGGGTACAGCGGATGCAGTATACCACATTAGCAGATGTGCAGGTGAATGTCTGCTTGATGTGGAAAGTCTTCTTGGGGCCTGGGATGGGGGTGAGGGAGGAGGTGTGGGGGCAGGTGTAGCACTCTCTGCAGTTGCAGGGAAAAGTGCCAGGTGTGGTGGGGCTGGAGGGGAGTGTGGAACGGACAAGGGAGTCACAGAGAGAGTGGTCCCTCCCGAAAGCAGATAGGGGTGGGGAGGGAAAAATGTCTTTGGTGGTGGGGTCAGATTGCAGTGTCGGCGGATGATGCGTTGGATCCGGAGGTTGGTGGGGTGGTACGTGAGGACGAGGGGGATTCCTTTTTGGTTGTTATTGCGGGAACGGGGTGTGAGGGATGAGTTGCGGGAAATGCGGGAGATACAGTCGAGGGCGTTCTCGACCACAGAGGGGGGGATGTTGCGGTCCTTGAAAAACGAGGACATCTGACTTGTACGGGAATGGAATGCCTCATCCTGGGAGCAGATGTGGTGGAGGCGAAGGAATTGGGAATAGGGGGTGGCATTTTTGCAGGAAGGTGGGTGGGAGGAGGTGTATTCTAGGTAGCTGTGGGAGTCGGTGGGCTTGAAATGGATATCGGTTTCTAGGTGGTTGCCCGAGATGGAGACAGAGAGGTCCAGGAAGGTGAGAGAGGTGTTAGAGATGGTCCAGGTGAACTTAAGGTTGGGGTGGAAGGTGTTGGTGAAGTGGATGAACTGTTCGAGCTCCTCGTGGGAGCACGTTACTGTAATTAGGCTATTTTCTAATACATTACTATTTGACAACTTTGGGAAATGCTCAACAACGATCCCCTGCACGCACACCCCAAATAGTATGTTGGTGTACTGGCAAAGCTCCCATCTAACCATATTATTTATTACTTTTGAATTGATAAGAAGGTAACTAAAATATAGACAATGCTAGAGCTTTGAACTTAGTAATACAAAAACTGTAAACCAGTTTATGGATGCTGATCTCTTGGTTTCAAAACTAAAATTACTCTAGTTAAAATGTGGCTTAAATGACTTTAACTTGCTTGGAGCCCATTTGAAAATAGCGAACAAGTTTCACTGAAAAGTGGTGCTTTTTGCCTTCTGGCAATTTGGAGGCAAGCAGTATCCAGGCAGATTCCCAGACTTAGAATAGGATGGCAAGATCAATTGCTGTGACGATTGCCTTTACCTTTTCTATCTTTGATTCATGAAACAGCCTTGAAGTTTAAGTTGCAATTTCTGTAAAGCAATGGGCTGGAAATTTGGATGTCAAATTGGAATTAATTAACAGGTCTTGGTACAAATAAATTTTCAGACTTTTCCGCTTCCTGGAGGTAAAAGGTTCTCTGAAATGAATTGGTTTGGTGGAGTCTGATGTCACTTGGCAGCTGATGTATTCTCCTAGCTTTCCCAAATCTACAGACCCTTCTACTCATGCCTGGTTGTGAATGAACATATGTACATGCAGTGTGCAGAGAAACTACTTCCCTGAAACGCAAGCCTGTTCGATAAATAGGGTGATTACTTTGCAGTAAATATATACAGAATTGTTACCCATGACCACCATAAAAGTGCAGTATTTTATATCTCAGCAAATCCTGAGATGTGAATTTCCAGCAGTGCTTCCAGAATGTCCTCTGACCTCTCAGGTGTATGAAAAAAAATCCCTTGACACAGTTTTGAACAAAAGCATGAGAATTGTTTGCATTGTCCTAGCCAATATTTATCTCATAATCATCCTAAAAATTGTTGATCTGATCTTTACTACTTTGCTGTTTGTGGAGCTTGGTATGTGCAAATTGCCTGTCATTCCTTTATATTACAATGGTAGCTATAGTTCAGACATAGTTCATTGGCTGTAAAGTCCTTTGGAACATTCTGAGGCTGTGAAAGCCTGATATAAATTAAGGATATCTTTCTTATTCATTTCTTTCAGCTGTGATTTTGATTTTACCTTTGTTTTATCATTATTGTTATGATATATCACTGATCCCTTTTCTGCAGGGGTTAGGAACCAACTTTTACTCAGATGATGACATTTATGAGGGCCATTGGTATGCTGACAAGAGAAATGGCTGGGGTAGAATGTATTATGCAGATTGCTCTACTTATGAGGGTGAATGGTTTGATGACACTCCCAATGGTCAGGGAATGCTTCGTCTGGGTAAGTTACGTTTTCCAGTACTTATTGTAATAATCTAAGATAAATGCTTATTTTCTGAATTGAGTGACAGCAGTTTGGCTTTATAACAGGCTGAAATTCAGTAGAAAATGAACAGTCTGTATTGAGAAAACCCAGTTCTACAAATCACGTTTATTCTGTCCAGATTCTACGTATACTTCTTCTTGGATTGAGCCTTTTACCTCATGCCTCATTAACCATGAACATCTATTGAACCATAATTCAAGGAACACTGTTCTCCTTTCTATCTCTCCTTTTTTAAAAAAAGTCAAGCAGTGTTATTTATATTTCTGTAATTCCCAGCTTCCCTTTTTATTGAATTTAATTCCAGTTCTCTTTTAACTTAATTTATCCCAAAGTAGTTACTTTTCTTAGAGTCATTTGTGAAAATTCACTATCTTGTCAGACATGGGTAAAAGGTTTCATTGAGTTCTTGTCCTTACTTCATTTCTATAAATTCTCTGCTTAGTGGCCTCCAGCCCTATTATTCAACTTTAACTAACTTGTTTACTATCACTCAAACCTACATCATTCATTTTCCTGCAACATGACTCTTCTGAAAGAAAATAAATTAAGTAACCTGAGCTTGTCTTCGTATGTTGGTTGGTTAACTTGGTCACCTAGAAGAATTCTTTGTAATGTACTTTTTATCTTTTATAATGACCAAATGGAATGTCATTATAGCAGGTGTTAACTTGTCATCCAGTATCCAATATTTGCATCCTCGTACCCATTGGGCTTACATAAAAACAGGAAATGCTAGAAATACTTAGCAGGTCTGATAGCATTTATGAAGAGAGAAATTAATTCATGTTCTAAGTCAATGTCCTTTTATCAGAACTGGGGAAAAGTTAATAATGTAGTAGGTTTTATGCAAATTAAAATGAAGAGGGTTGGAAAAGGAGCATAAGGGAAAATAGAGTGGAAGGCAAAAGAGAATTAAATGGTTAAACAGTTGACATTGCAAGGCCAAAGGAATTATAATGTGACATGGTTGCATTTCCTGTATTTGCATGGAAAGATGGTATGGAAAAGGAAGAGTGTGTTGGAAGTGATTGAGGAGCAAACTAGAGTCACCTGGTCGCAGTAGCTCACTGGCTTATTTTCTGAACCTCCATCTTAGCCAGCGATCCCCAACATCTCAGGATATGCTTCATGAGTAGCAGAACCAGGCTTACATCATCATGGCTCATTCGACTCACTTATAATTCAGTGGAGCACTTCAATACTACACTTTGCAGCTCAACAATACCTTACATTCCAATGCTGCTGTCAGGCCATTCTGCACACAGGGACAGGCAGCCATCTCGTGCATTAGAACAGTTTGCATCTCTGACTCTTAGCTTGCATTCTTAACGCTCACACACGTTGTACCTACTTAGACGTTCACAGCATCTCTGCCTTGCCTTGCCTTTTTTGCACCTTGCTATCTCATTCAGAACAGTACTTCTGTTTTACCTTGCCTTTTAGCACAGACAAAAAGCCAGGCAACTTGCCTTTGTTTGTCAGCGATGATCAATGAAGGAGGTGAACGTTGCCATATCCAGGCACCCTACTGCATTGATGTCACACCTGTACCATGTGGTGGCAGCTTATGAAACAAAAACATTGGATGTGCTTCAACCAAGTAGCCATGTCTCAAAATCTGAGGGGAGTTGGTCTTTGTGGTTGAAGAGGGACTGTCCTCAGTCAGGAGCTCCTGTCATTGTCACTCAAGGGTACTATCCAATCTCTATAGTGCAGGGGGTGGGCCATGATCAATCCTACAGACCGAGTGCAACCAAACAAGGGATTAGTGGTAAGTTAAGAAGCTGTACTGATATCAGTCAAGGGTCTGGTCAGTCATCAGTCATTGTTGTCATTCCAAGATGGTTGGGAAGTACCCCCAACACCTGGGCCCTTATCTTATAAGTAGCTTTAATAGTGGTGCCTTATCCGATACTTTTGGAAATCCAATATATTACATCTCATCTAGTGGTTCCCCTTTATCTGTAATAAAACTGTAATAAATGTGCCAGGCATGATTCCTCCTTCATGAAACCATTCTGACTCTGCTTGATTGTATTATGTGTTTCTAAATAATCTGCTATTACATCCTTTATAATGGACTCTAAAATTTTCTCAATGACAGATGTTTAGCTAAATGGCCTACAGTTTATTTTTGTCTCCCACCGTGTTTGGATAAGGTGTTACATTTGCAGTTTTATAATCTTTTGGGGCTTTTCCACAATCTAAGAATTCCAGGAAGATTCCAAGGCATCCACTATCTCTGCAGCTACTTCCTTTAAAATCCTAGGATGAAATGCACTGGGCCCAGGTTACTTATTAGCCTTTAGCCTTATTGGCTTCCATGGTACATCTTCTCTGGTGATAACTGTTTTTATTACTGGAGCTGCTTTTCGCACACATTGAACTGTTACCAAGTTTCACAACATGTTCTTCAATGCACTGTTAAACTTCCTGATCATGTGAGAGGTGTGGGGTGCAGGCGGGTGTCATTGTTCATAACACATCTTCAATTCTAACACATGGATTAACAGTCCAAAATGTTTTTGAGAAGATTTGTAGCTCGGGTTGTGGATGAGGTTGTAGATTTGTTCACCAAGCCAGTGTGTTTGATTGCAGACATATCGTCACCTTGCTAGGTAACATAGTCAGTGCGCCTCCGGTGAAGCTTTGGTGTTCTGACCCACTTGTTACTTATATGCTTTGGTTTGCTGGGTTGGTTGGCATCACTTCTGGTTTCTTTTTCTGAGGCATTCATGTAGGAAGTATAGTTGATTGCGGGTCACGCTCAGATGGATGGCATTTGTCTCCCAGTTGCAGGCTAGTTTGATGGTGTTGTACCCGTAGGTGATTAAAGTTTTTGAGAAGATTTGTAGCTCAGGTTGTGGATGAGGTTGTAGACTTGCTCGCCAAGCCGGTGTGTTTGATTACAATGTTACATAGCTGGGTGACGAAACGTCTGCAATCAAACACACTCGCTCAGTGAGCAAGTCTACCTCTACAACCTCATTAACAGTCCAGCGATAATACCACTAGGCCATCACCTCCCCTAAATCACATTACTGATCCTGCCCAGGTAGAATCATTGGAAACATCACCAATGGATCCAGGCTGTATTGTCTCTGTTGCCATGAACTAAAAGCAGCCACATGTATCTGGAAACCCAGCAGCAACACAACCTCTAGCAGATGTCGAACAATCTCGATGCAGTTTCCAGCAATATGTCCCCTCAGGATACAGAGGTTCAGTCTTTTGAATTCCTCCAGATGAGCAAAGCATAGTGCAGCTGCTGAATGAAGATGCCTCAAGGCACCATGACAGAACTGTGTCATCTCTGGAGCATTCTAGATGCTATAGACTGTAGATAGGTCACAGTGAGAGAACCATATCATAATGCGACTAACTTCATTCATAGGAATTGTTTCCATTTAGTAAATATGCCACATTTTAAAAGTCTGCATAAGGAATTCTTGAAGCTTCCATAATTCTTATATCCTTGATAATTCTCAGGTTGTTCAGTCATTCCAAGGGTTGCATTCTTTTAAGAATAGCCACTGAGAGGCTTTAACTCCATTACACAGACATCTGACTGAAGCCAAGTACAAATATAATGCAATGCCTTCTTCCACTGGGGACATTGAAAGCCATATGATGTCTCCTCAAAATGAAGTTCCCATGCTCGGACAGGTCTAAGGGTTCCTTGTATACGTTACAGAGAGAGTTTGCCTCATAAAAACTAAGAGCAGGAGTAGGCAATTCAGCCCCTCAAGCCTGCTGAATCATTTGATATGAACATGGCTGTTCTCATCTCAATTATGTGCTATCATAAGGTTTTCTTTATTCTTTCCCTCCCCTATGTCTTGGTGCACTCCTGGAATCCATAGCTGGGGTAGAGGGAGCCTTTGCCCATTCCATTTTGGAGTTTTGGATGGACAACTGGGAAGGGCTGGTGTGGAATTGAGGCTCGAGAGCCTAGACCTGCTGAGTGTGCCCTGGTCAGATGCAACTTCACCCTTCTCGGCTTGATGTCCCACAGGTTTGAGGGATGCAGGCAGAGATAAAAGGTGCCCATCCCTTTCACCTCCAGTGTCCTGAGAGCAAATTTCTAGGGGGCATGTATGAGATTCACCCTCTCTCTGTGGGTATCTATTGGCACCATTCTGTCTCTTTGCGAAGAAGGGTCACATGGAGTGATGTCAAAGTCCTCCGTCTCCTTGTTGTTTTGCCGTTGGTGTTGATTATTAATGGTTGAAGCTATGGACTGTAGGTCTACATGCATTTTCAGCATCCATTGACCGTGCTAAGAAGCACGTATTCATATGCAGGGCCTGTGTCCTTTGCAAACAGAATAGGCCCGTGCATTGCACCTTTTTCAACTGAACAAAAGCTTTGGTGCATTCCCCATGATAATGCACGGACCAATCAGAATCGACTTGCCTAGTTTGAATTTAAACAATTGTTCTCTTGTCCACACTCCATGGCAACATCTCCATAAGAGTTCACTTTCAACCAACCAATCAGCATTCTCTTTTCATGCAGTATAAATTTTTGTTCCCTTTGAGATTTGGGCCCTGATTTTCTTTCCCAGATTGGGTCACAAAGTTGGGAGAAATCCTAGCTCTGTGAGCCCAACTTTTTAAGAGTCATCACTTGTATTTCCAATTTTTGGTTTGAGGGTGCTGGCTGGATTGGGAGTCAGATCAGACAATCTAGGAAGAGACTAAGAGGCTGCCCATTTCCAAGACAGGCAAGCAGAAAGTCTGCCTGGGAACTCTGGCAGTATATGCCAAGTTTAAAAATGAAGAATAAGAAAGAAAACATCCCACCTGCTCTTACTCTCTCACCATATGCCTTACCCATGGAAACCTATGTCTTGCACCCAATCCCATGGTTCCTAATTCCCTTTGTGCTGACCTATGTCCCTATAATTACCTCCATATCTCCTTTTAGCCCCCATGCCAACTCAATGACAACAT